AACCCTAACCCTAACCCTAACCCTAACCCTAACCCTAACCCTAACCCTAACCCTAACCCTAACCCTAACCCTAACCCTAACCCTAACCCTAACCCGGGCAATTTCTTATCTGCAACCCTATCTGACCTGTTCTGAATGGTGAACCCTCCGAGGCCGCAATACTACATCCATCTGTTCCAAGTCCCGAGTGCAGTGTTCGGCTAAGTTTGCCTAGTCAATGTGGAGTCGGCGTTAGATAGGAGAGAAGCATCCAAAAGAAGTTGGGCAGAGCATTCAAAGTCAAAAGCATTCCACAACTTATCAGGGGAGGGGTGATCGCAGTCACGTTGATCGTCTCTCTAGTTGTGCTTGACCTGAACCCACCGGCATTTCCAATCATTGCTCTGCAGTTAAAAGGTTCAACATTTTGCAGCACTTTAAACAGCTCTCGCTGCAGATAACCAATACCGAACGGCTCAACAGGTTTAGTTCCAGTTCTCTTAGAATTCTGATTATAGCAATGGGTCCAATGTGCCAAGTAAATCGACTTTTCAATGTCAATGGAATTATTGCCGTTATCACAGGTGGAGGCAGCGGTGAGTCTAACCTTACATGAAAAGGAGCACGACACTCCAAGCTTTCCAATTCCACCACTCGTCGCCACTGTATTTTTGTCCAACACTGTATTCTTGTCCACTTTACTGAAAATTCAGCTAAGATCGTACGCAGGCCTTGGGCTTTCCATGGCTCAAGCACTAGCCGAGAATGGCGCTAAAAGAGTCTATATTCTTGGGCGGCGCAAGCAGATCTTGGACGAGGCAGTTAACAAGATCGTAAGTGCAATATGTCGGCTCAAGGGCCCCGACTGGTGCGCCTTTTCCCGTTTTGATCTTTGACAGAATTAGGGTCTGGACTGCGTCGTTCCGATAATATGTGATGTAACGGATAGACAAAGCTTGCGATTGGCGGTAGCACTCATCGGGAGTGACGTGGGATATATAAATTTACTGGTGGCCAATTCTGGTATTGCAGGCCCTTCCGGCAACGTTACCCAAGGATCGAGCATTGCCGGATTACAGGAGACCTTACTCACCATTCCGATGGAGGATTTTACTAACACATACCACGTTAACTGTACCGCGGTCTTTTACACGGCCATTACATTCCTCGGGCTTTTAGATGAAGGAAATAAGCGATCGGCATATCAAGGAGGGAGGAGCCAAGTCATTGCCACAAGCAGCATTGGAAGCTTTAACAGAAAGATCACCGCAGGCTTTGCGTATGGCACCAGCAAGGCTGCCACGACTATGTTGATGAAGATTTTGGCCACATATTTGGTACCATATAGGATCAGAGCAAATGTGTTATGTCCCGGTTGTAAGTACCCTTGCCAACCTTTGTGAAAGATGCGAACTGACCAGGTACTGGTCATGCTCAGTATTCCCGACGCATCTCACTGCTACTCTGATTAAAGAACAAAATCCCGCAACCGAGGCCGCATTCCCAGTCGAGGAGATCCCGGCCGAGCGCGCAGGCCAACCAGAGGACATCATGGCGGCTCTTCTTTACCTGGCTTCGCGGGCAGGAGCTTATTGCAATGGCAGCTGTCTGATAGTAGATGGTGGCCGTCTGAGTGTCACACCAGCCACGTACTAGTCCGTTTCACAATATATACTAAACTTCCACGCCAAAACCTCGCATCATAGAGTCCTTAAGGCAAGGTTACAGTGTTCGAGAGCCAATCGGTCAAAGATGTTGGGTGAGACACAAATTCAATCGGGCAACGCAGTTTCTTTATTCTCGAAAGACAGTCTAGACTGTGATGTGTCAAAGTCAGCTCTCGCTGCGGCTCCCCGGAAATACCTTTAATCAAAGAACGGACTGCAGCCGGCCTTCCTATCTTACGGTGCCACTGAGAGAAGTCAGAGTAATCAGCACAGACAGTTCCTTGTGGTGTCAAGACCAGCAAGTAACATGAACGGCCAGAATACGAATAGTCGAGTGACCCGTATACTCGCTTTGGCTGGTTAGAATACAGAATTAAGGAGAGCGTGCATGTGCATGTGCTTCAACAGAGATGCCGGCTACCCTAGAATGCTCCCTCCGATCGCATAGAAATACATAACTAGAAGGTTTTCAACTGCAAAATACTTCGACAGTGTAGCGTCTGAACATGTCGACCAATTAATACCAACTACAAAGCCGCTTCAATCCTGTCGACCTCTGCCGAACCACCAAAATATGCTCGACAGCACGACAGCTCCACATACAACGCGGGCATAGTTCATGTTTTCAGCCGTTACCGGTTGAAAGGGTGGAAAGGACAAAAATATCAGCATGAAAGTGCTCTAGATTAAGGCAAAGATATACAGCGGAAGGCCACATTTGCCATGCTGGAAAGGACCGTACTGCCATGGAGGTCCAGGAGCAAATTGCCCAGCAGATCATCGTTTCGTGGCACCTCTCAGCCACATAATAAGTTCAGCACGACCAGTCCCTGTATCTGGAGGCCACCGAGGAAGGTGGCACTTCCTATGAAAGCATGCCAGCCAAGTGTTGTGATCCACCCAGTCAGCCAGCTGCACAATTGACCTAACCGTACGATGGAGAGGCCAGAATGGATGCCCACTCGATTTGGCCACTGGTTCGGCACCCATTATGCGATGGATGCAAAGCCTCGAGCCCCGTTTGTCGAAAATACCTTCGAAGTCTCTCCGCCAATTCAAAGTGCGGACGACCGCATCTTCATAATCTCCAACATGGATAGCCTTGAAGATCTTCCGGTCGAACATTCACTACATCATCAGTTTGGATATTCGAAATTCTTGGACATTGCAGGTTCTACGGCATCTCTTCAAAGGACACCTTGTCTGAAGGTGTCGAGGCCATGACCGACATCCTAGAACACGCACCTGCATCTGAGCGGCCGACGGACCGACCGGTTGTTCCTACTGTCCTGGAGAACAAGACCGACATATTGTCAAAACATTGTTTGGCTCTCGTGTAACATCGGGCTTTAACTCCTAAGCAAACCCTTTCCGAACAGTGGTCACAGATCTGATAATCTCCGAAGCATCCGTCCGTCAGTGTTTCCTACCAATGTCAGCTGCTCATGTTCGAAGGCAAGAGAAATATTTTAGACAATAGGCATGAGAATATCGCACAGATGCAATCAGCTCTTTGAACCGATCATTCTCGCATTTCGAGTCCGCGGCTGCTTCAGCCGGAGCTCAGTCCCCTTATAAGAACTTCACTGGCTGGGACGATTCTATTGGGAGTAAGGTCCATAAATCAAGCTGCTCGGCTGCATTATACATTTACTTGACTCCAAGTGTCTTCGTTGGGCATCACATATCCCCACGGAGCTCGAACAATCCTGAAGACTTTGGTTGTCGAACTAATATCAATAGCTCCGACGGATCCGGTGTGTCTAGAGCATATATCAAGTATAAAGTCCAACCCTAGGGGGGAAGTACAGGGTAGAAACCCTAGCTAACACCACACCGCTAAACACGATGTTTAGATAGTTATATATATGCTAAAGAGCAGAGAAAGTGTAGCTGTATTCAGTCCTGCGCGGTGCCTTATCCAAGATCAGTCACTATCATCGAAACGAGACTTATCACACAACTTTTAGTTTCCCATGTGACGGGGGCTTGTTCCAAGAAAGTCCGCTCAATTAGGCTTTTCCTTCGTAGTGCGAAGCCAATGCATAGCTCTTGTCCAGCGGCTCCTTGCTCAAGACATCCTTTTCGTTCAGCAGATATTGTGGCACTGTCAGCTCATCTGCGTCGCCAAATATTCTCCCAACTTCTTCTAGAGGAACGCCAAGCGTGTCAGGGAAGAAGAACCAAAGCCAAGCTGTGGCTATAAATCCCGGGATAAAGAATACCATATAGAAAAGATACCCAATCCTGAGGAAAGCTATTGGGGCGACCTGCAGCCAGACGATATTAATCGCAGTGATGGTGGCTACGCCGATAACTACACCTTTGGCGCGAATATGGTTCGGGAAGATTTCTCCTAGGGAGCAAAATTGGACTCCATCTGCCGTGTTGTTAGTCACGTCTTCGTGGCCAGGATCTCCTCCCAACTTACCGAGACCAAGCTGATAAAAGCAATTGACGAGATATATGAAACCAATTGTAGCATTGAGGGCCGTGTTGTTCGGGTTCTCTAGGGCTTCCGGTGAAGCGAACTTTCCAATCAGGCCACAAACAATGGCAAGGCAACATGCGCAGCCACCAACGCCAAATGCCAGAAGCTTATTTCGAGGAAAACGGTCGATCAAGAAATAGGACATGAACCCGGTGCCAAGAGCCACCACGCACCAGCCAATTTGATACAACATTTGCTTATTAGTGTCAAACCCGAGAGAAGCGTAGATGGTTGGTCCGTAATTGGTAACAACAAGGATACCCGAGGTGTGTATTGACAAGGCCATGCCTATTGCAAATAATGCTCGTTTGCGGTAGCTTTTCTTCATAAAAATTGACCGCCATGTACTAACGTGGTGTCGGTCCTGTTCAATTGATAGTCGAATCTGGACCGCCTCAACCTGAGCTTCTTGGGCCGTATGTAGCCTATTTAGGACTCGCTCAGCTTCATCGTAGCGGTCTTTCATCATGAGCCATCGTGGTGACTCCGGCAGCCAATGCATACCGGCAAGTAGCACGATAACCCAGAGAGCCTGAAAGATCATGCCCCCGCGCCATGCCCAGTTATTGTCGGTGGGTAGATGATAAAACGCGTACCCAAAGTATGTTGCAATATTGTAGCCGAGGAGGAAACCGACGTTGTGGCAATTGACAAGGATGCCCCGGATCTTTGGTGGGGACACTTCATTCATCCAGATGGGAATGGCCGTGACAATTGTCCAACCGCCCCAACCAGCGATGAATCGAAATGCGAGAAACATTTCAATATTGACGCTCCCAGTCAGCCCCGCTGCCGCAATGAGATTGACAACGGCGCAGTAGGTAATCGCTGCTTTGCGGCCCCAACGATCAGACACATCTGCGACGGTCCATACGCCCAAAAATCCACCAACCTGATACAAAGAATTCGTGAGGCCGGACAAATCGGCCGCGTTGTTGCGAGTGTCGAGCCCAAAATAAGATATGAAGGAAGGTTGTGCCAGGGTCGTGGCAATAATCGAGGCACTGTAGCCATATTCGATAGATCCCAGCGACATGAACAAGATGATGAAAACATTATACCAGCGGAATTGTCGTTTGCTTGAATGTTCAAGTGTAGGTGTTGTACCCGCATCAAGGCTCTCATTTGCTTCAGGTAGTTTCGCCATGGTCAGGTTCTATGTGTTGTTGATTGGAAAGGGACAGGACAAACGTGCTGCATCAAACATGTATTTATCAGGTCCCACGACATGATGCCTTCTACCTGGGAAATCAGGTTGTTACTTCGTGATACAGCGATTTCCAGCCCTAGGATGGATTTGCTTGTTCAGATCCCGAGGTTGGACATGCAGCCCGCGGCAGATGGCAATTTTAAGCCCACAATATCTGTCCGCACTTCACCACCTTCGTCCCCGCCATAGCATGGAGAAGGATGGGGCTTGATCCTCGGCTCTGTGGGGTCCGGGGTTGGCGACTTCTTAGGGTGAGATGCTTTTCACCTGAAAGCAAAGCTGTCACGGTGCCTCGGGACCCCAATGCTGGCGCGTAACAGTCTTTGAAGGGATAGTTTGACTCGCGGCTCGACATGGTGGCACACCCAGAACTTTGGACTATCTCTACAGAAGAACAAGGGCTTAGAGTATATGAAATGTTTCACCGTCCTGATGTTGCTGGCTCAAATCTCGGTGCGACAGAACCTAATAGCTTGGACTACTCGAGTCCCTCCTTGAGTGAACCACAGGAGTGATATTGTTAAGTATTGACACGTATGAGAAACTACTATATCTGCTGTCCGTGTAGTCTCCAAGCTCAATGCAATATCGGATGATGTCATATCATATTTCCAAGTTGTGACATTCAAAGATCCGCATCGTGTGAAGTGCAATGTCTAGGATTGCTATGGAATAGACTAGGAATTGCCTAAGTCGTTCTCAACTTCGGAGATATTAATATCTTGACATGGTCATCCTTCCGGTTAGCCAACTCTTCGAACCCTTTGTCCACGACCTGTGCAAGCGGAACTCGACTTGTGATCATACCCTCGTATCCGCTGATTTTCCCTGCCCACATGTCAGTCAATACGAGAAAGAGGGAGCCCAGTCCAGTCATACCATCAGCCATCAACTGTATCACTTCTCGAAAGTCCTCTTTATTGTAACAGCATGAGCTGAGGAAAGAGATTTCCTTCCTAAAGAACGGGTAAAATGGAATGGGTATCTATATTGTCAGCTTTCAGCTCATTGATGTACTCGGGACGTGATTACCGGCTTCTCCCACATTGCAACATTGATGTATGTCCCTCCATAGGAGATAGCATCGAGTGCGCTTTCCAAGGCTGGCGCAACACCAGCACAGTCGAAAACGAAATCTACACCTTTGCCGCTTGTGATCTTGCGGCAAATTTCACCTAGGTTCTCGGTTTTTGGGTCTATGATCCTCTGGATCAGACCAAGCCTCCGAGCTTGTTCTCTCCTCTTAGCCGTTGGCTCGCTTAGAATCAGGGTTTTGACACTTTGAGCT